TTGAAGAGCCTCAGGATGAAAAAACTCAAGGCGGCGAGGCTGTCGAAGATCGGGGAGTGCCAAAGTTGGGGGCTTCTTGATGGAGGGGCCACGCATGCTCTTAGGCAAGCGCGGAAGGGTGAGACAGGGGATGACCGCATGGTGGAGCTTGCGGATGGCCGGGAGGTGGTTATGCAGATGACGGAGGATCACACCTTGATCTGCAAGGAAGCCACGCAGGTCATTGTGCCGCTCGGAGCGTTGTACCTGCTGGGCTACAAGATCCGCTGGGAGGAGGGTATCTGCTGCATCGAGCACGCGAGCCGAGGCCCGTTGCCGGTGAGGATGAGGCAGTTCTGCCCGGAAGTCCCGACGGAGGTGGCTCTGAGGTTGGTGGCGGAGTTGGAGGAGTTCAATATAGGGACTGCTCCGGAAGGCGGCTACAGCGGCGACCAAGAGCATGAGGAAGCCGGGCATCAACGCCGACCACAAGAAGGGCCTGTGCGGCAGGGTTGCAGCTGCATGGAAGAACGGAGAGATGGAGAAGGTGAAGGGGGAGTTTAGACAGCTAGCTCTTCCCTGAGGTGCCGGAGGCGCTGCTGGAAAGGGCCCTGGGCACAGGAGAAGGAAGGGGAATTGCGGCGGCAAGGAGGAGGCATGCCAAGGCGACAGGGTTGATCCTTCACCTCTTCGCGGGGAAGAGTGCGAAGAAGTTCAACTACGGACAGTGGGACAGGGAGGTCATTGCGGTGGATATCCTGTCGGGCCAGGATTTGCTGGAGGCAGACACCTTCGGGTACCTGGCTGGATTGGCGGTGGAAGGAAGGACGGAGGGGGTCATGGGTGGGCCGTGTAGGACGTACTCCTCCTGCAGGCACTTCGAACCGGGTCCTTATCCGGTCCGAGGAAGAGGAGAGGAGCTGTTTTGCTATGAGGAGAGCGACGCCGAAGCAAGGAAGGTGGAGGGCGACAGCGTCTTGATGCTGCGCGTGTGGATACTGGCGGTGCTGGCGAACGGTGGCCGGGAGCTGGTGGGTCTGAAGGCATGGATGGTCAAGGAGCACCCGGAGGACCCGAGGAGCTTTGTCAGTAAGGAGGAGTGGGAGAAGGCCAAGGCCCGGGGGGGCGAACCGCCTTCGGTTTGGGACTGGCCGGAGGTCACGGCGCTGGAGGAGGTGCTGGGACTTATTGGGGTGAAGTTTGACCAGGGCGCGATGGGCCACATCAAGCGGAAGCCGACGATGCTGCTGACGAGCATCAAGGATCTACGGCAGCTGGATGGCATGAGGGGACCTGGAGTTGGAGGAGCGGGGAACCGCGAATCTAGCAGCTGGCAAGAGACAGGTCGTGGCGGCGTCAAGGATGGCAAAGGCATCGGCGGAGGACATGTGGAAGAGCCACGTCGAGAATGGCCACACCCCATTTCGCCGGGACTGCAGGGCTTGCATCCAGGGTGGACTCAGAGGAAGGAGCCATCGGAAGAGGAGTCACCCGGCTTTGGCCATGGCGATCGACGTGACGGGGCCGTTCAAGACATCCAAGGAGGGGCATCGCTATCTGCTGGTGGGCTCCTATGTCACGGCGGTGGCAAAGAACATGGCCAAGGAAGATGAAGTGGAGAAGGAAGCCGGAGGAGAAGCGCTTGGAGAAGACCCGAGCGAGGACCCGTTCGAGGAGATGTTCGACGAGGAAGGGGCTTTGAGGATAGAAGGTGAGGAGAGAGGAGAGGTGAGGGTAGAAGGCGAGGAGGACGAGAGAAGGGAGGAGGAGCATCCAGCTCCGGGAGGGCTGGGACCATCATGATGGTGGAGCCGCTGAAGACCAGGAGAGCGGCGGAGGTGATTGCGGCGACCCAGTCGATGGTGGCCAAGCTTCGGTGGTGGGGCTTAGAGGTGGCGAGGCTTCATTCTGATCGAGGACGTGAGCTGGTTTCAACAGCGTCATGGGCTGTGTAAGACGCTGTTGAGAGGCTTGGTATGGACCAGGAGAAGGAGACTGCGAGGAAAGCAGAAAGATGAGGAGGCTGGAGACGATGAGGAGCCGAGGATCAGCAAGGTGGAGGAAGGTGAAGAGCAGGTGGAAGTGTCCTTGGACCCGGAGTGGGTAGGGGTCGGGAAGGGATGGAGGCGATGGCGAAAATGCAGGTGGTATGGTCGCAGGAGAAGGATAGGTTCCTTGAGCTGGTCATGGATGACCTCGAGATGGGTGGCACCGGGGAGGAGTGGGCAGAGGTGCTGGGAAGGCTGGACATCCAGCAGAGCTGCACAGAGGAGGAGATGGTGGAGGTCACCCGCGAGGAACGCCCGAAAGCAGGTCTGAGGGCGATGGATGTGGTGGCGGAAGAGGAGATGTTTCTCCAGACGAAGATCATCGGTCTGGAAGTGCCGCGCGGTTGTCTGCGGCAACCAAATGCAGGAGGAGGTGGAGGGAGGAGCCGATGTGTATGCGTCTGGGGTGGAGGCTGGCACGGTTCGTGCGCTGCTTCGGAAGGCGGCGGCTATGAGGTGGTCGGTGGGCAGCTTGGACATCAGGACTGCGTTCCTGAATGCCCCGAGGAGGTCGGCCCATCGGGTGGTGGTGAGACAGCCAAGGATCCTCATTGATGCAAAGGTCGTTGAGCCGGGCATCATGTGGGAGGTGACGAGGCACTCTATGGGCTGAGGGCTTCACCAGCCGATTGGGGGGCGCACAGAGATGACACGCTCAGGAGGTGGAAGGTGGACATCGGTGGGAGACAGGTGCTGGTATTGCATCAGGCCTTCGCCGACGAGAAATTGTGGAAGATCAAGCTGGGTGAGACCACGGTGGGGTTCATCTGCTGCTACGTGGATGACATGATGATCATCGGGGAGCAGAGCATCGTGGAGGTGATGGCTGGCCACATCAAGAAGGAGTGGGACGCCACGGACCTGGAGTGGGCCAACACTGAGAAGGCGCTGAAGTTTTGAGGCGTTTTGATGGTGAAGCCAGGAGAAGGTGGGGAAATCCTGGTTGGGCAGGAGGATTACATCAAGGATGTCATCAATAGGTACGGGAGCGAGGTGAAGGAGAAGCTCATCCCCGTACCGAAGGAAATTGAGAAGGACGGGGAGGACGAGGAGTTGGACATGGAGATGGTTCGGCGAGCACAAACGCTGTCGGGGGAGTTGCTGTGGGCGACCCGGACGAGGCCGGATATCAGCTATGGCGTGAACCGCATCAGTCAGCTGATTGCGCGGCAGGCGAGGCGAGCCTATGACATGGGAATCTACCTGCTGGGCTTCCTCAAGAAAACGGTGGATTGGAAGTTGGAGTTTGGGGCCGCGGCGGAGGGCCACGGAGAGAACGGGGAGTATGTGTATGAGAGGGGCATGAACACGGTGGAGGTCTACGCAGATGCCGGCTTCGGGCCGGATGGCGGCCGCTCGCAGCGGGGGGTCATCGTATGCTACAGTGGCTGCCCAATTCATTGGACGAGTACGCGGCAGCCGTTTGTGGCAAGATCAACCGCGGAGGCTGTTGTTGGCAGCCATGGAGGGGGTGCTGCAAGGGGAAGCCTGGGCGGAGATCATCGCCGACCTGGAAGACAGGAAGGTGGCATCGGTGTGGGACAGGGCATCGATGTGGAGGGGCGTGACCAGCTGAGGTCGTTGAAGCTGGTGATGATGCAGGACAATGCAGCAGCCGTCACGCTACTGCAGGGCCCTGGTGGGTCATGGAGAACGAGGCCACTCAAGATCCGGGCCACGTCGGCCAGGGAGAGATTTGAGAATGGCTCCTGGGCGCTGCAGCACTTGCCGGGCGAGACGATGTTGGCGGGCATCGGCACCAAGGCCTTGGGAAGCTCTCGCTTGAGAGCACTGGCTGAGATGATGGGTATGAAGATGGGCGAGAGCGGCGCGATCCCGGAGAAGGAGGAGAACGTTGTGGAACCGGGGAGGGGACCGCGGCCAAGGTGAGGGTGGTGCACAGCGTGGAGCACGAACGAGGCCTGAAGGTCTTGACGGGCATCACGTGCATTATGCTAGCTGAGGCAGCTGGCATAGAGGATGAGGAAGCTTCCCGGGAGGAGCTTCTGTTTTGGACGGCGCTTCTGGTGGCGGTGGTGGCCGCGTGGGAGGCGTTGAAGTGGAGTGCGAGAAAGGCGACAAACGTGGTGCGGGGCCTGCAGAAGGGGGAGGACTGCGGGAGTATGCCGACTACCGGAGGAGGAGTGAAGGTTAAGACAATGAAGGGTGGCGAGGAGAGGGCCGCGCAGAGGTTGCTTGAGAAAAGGGCAGAAAGTGAGAGCTTCGAGGAGGAGCGAGGACGGAGCACAGGAGGGACAGAGCCGGGAGCTCGCGTGAGAGAAATGCAGGCTGGAAAGCCGGAGGTGGAGAAGCGAAGCAGACCAGGTCGACGCCGGAGAGGAGTTGCGTGGTGGAGTGGAAGGTCTCCTTGGATGTTGAGGAGGCTGCGATCTGGGAGGACGTGAAGAAGATCTTCCCGGGCATCATGAAGGAACCGGTTGGGACAGAGGACCGCTGGTTGGAGAAGGGCGGCTATTACATCAAAATGCATTGCAGGAGGCGGGTCGCCCAGTTTGACCCACGGAGGGGCTACATGCCGAAGGATAAGATTGGGCCGGAGAGGATCACGGTGATGAGGACTTCGGGGCCCATCTTTGTGCTGGGCGGCGACTACACGGTTGGGTCGCTGTCCGGCCTGAGGGAGTTCGTTGGCTTCACGATCTTCAAGAAGGTCGGGGCGGAGCAGGAGGTGGGGTCTTGAGCTGGCGCCAATGAGCGCAAGGGTGGCTGAGAGCTGTACAGAAGCTCAATGCCATGCATTTTGGGCGGTTGGCACAAAGTGCCAAGGGGGGGTGCATGAGATGTGTGCCCCACATGTTGAACATGCGGATGAACCGATTCCCGCAGACCCTTTAATGCTTTGAAGGAGGAAAAGGCGCCCCGGGAGGTTTGCAAAGTATACATATATATATATATTAATATATAAACACAGATTACGGCGCAATGTGCGCGCCGTAATGTTTGCACTCCGTCCTTCGGAGCTGTGCCCGGGGCCGACGGGGCCGCCGGGGCCGCCGGGGCCGCCGGGGCCGCCGGGGCTGACGGGGGCGCAGTCTCCTCGTGAGGCAATGGCATGGACTGCGCGGCGCTGCGCGGCGT